TATTGCAATAAAACGGCAATTTCATACTTTAACCCCTAATATTTAAGCGACTCGCTCTAATAGACCGCCGGTTCTCCCTTAAATACACAAACTTTAGCAGTTACTTGCACAGATTATCTCGTATTTCTGGGTACTCGAACTACACGACTATTCCATTTATGTGTGCGCTCGGATCCGCTTTCCGATGTTCTAACTTCAGAGTGTCACTTCGATTTGTATGATTTTACAATATGCACCTGGGGACTAGCGCTAGGGACTAGATTTCCAATTGACAATCGAATTAAATTCTCTAAGATTGACTCTCCGTGTAACAACGTCGCAATTGTAAAAATGCACAAAATTAATAAATATGACATAACCATTTTAAAGTATATTTACTACGGAAACAAGGACGTTGTATGTAGTTTTTACAACGTGGCGCCAGATTTGTTGTAGCATTAGAACAAAATTGAAATTGAATTATAAAAAAAATCGACTTCAAAGTTCGTGGAATTACATATGTTTGAAATCATTTACCGGAAAGTTCGCGAAACCAGATTCATCCCCAAGTTTCCCACTCATACAGATGTAATATTATCTTCGAATTTAAGCGGGACCAATAGCCCTCACTATTGGTCCCGCTTAATATACAGTCTTTCCAAGAAAAAATAATGGTCAAAATCGATTCATAAATTTGTCGCGTAACATACATACAAAATAAAAATGAAAAAAAAAAACAGTTTAATTGAGAACTTCTTCTTTTTTTGAAGTCGGTTAAAACTACAAATACTTTATTTTGTTCTGAAAATTTCCAAACTGTACGCTTGTGCGATATGACATGTAATCCTAACTTACCTGACTTATAAATTATAATTTAAAATGGACATTTATACATTATACATTTAACGTTCATAAGGCTCATTTTGGCTCTTATCAGTATTAATTTATTTCCTCATCATCAACTCATTTATACGTCCCACTGATGGGCACGGTCCTCCTCTCAGGCGGTAGTTCAGGTCATAGTCCGCCACGCTGGCGCAATGCGCGATATGGGGACTTCATACGTTTTTCGATGGTTGCGAACCTTCTTCGATGTGCAGGTTTCATCACAATGTTTTCCTTCACCGAAAAGGTACAATGGGGAAATTTGAGAGGTGCGACATTTACTTTAAACTCCTTATTTGCCTGGGTGTCAACTAATTTCCGTTGACTTTTAATTTCATTACAAGTTTCAGAAAGTAAATAACGCCGTCGTTTAAACCACCAAAAATGACCACCATAAAGTGCACATATTTCAAATTCATAGTGAAAACTAAGTGCCAAAAGCTTTCTATGACTTTATAATGAATATTCTTTTTTTGCAAATAAGCCTCGGTATCTTGCTAATTAGCAAAAACGTGGAACAAAGGAAGTCTATCAAGAATAAAATTCACAATGTTAATACCATCAACGTTTTTGTTGGTTATACGAGTGCCGTGCTCAGTATAAAATGTATGCTAATCGGACATTTGCATATGACTGGAAAAAATCACTGGGCCATTAAAGAGTGTTGCCATAGAACTTGGAAAGGATTGGAGAGGGTAAAGGACAGTTAGAGGGACCGAAGAGGTGCCATTAAAGGTTTAAGACCTTCCTTCACCCGTCGTTTGTCATGCAAATAGAGAGTGAATAATTTATAGAAGATTCATCCCCCAGTATAACGACGATCCGCATGATAAGGGCCAACCAAAAAGCCGCCCTGCGTGACTCCTATTATACAGCAAATAAATGTGATATTATTACAATTATAAAGGGGAGATTTCCGATTTAATATTCCTCAACATTTTGGTACAATCCTAATATATTATATCACTGATTGCCGCTAGATCACTGTTGAATATTTACGTTACAATTTTGCTAAAATAATAAATAATGTTATTTGAATTTAATATCGGGACTTAATCATGTATACTAGTTGATGCTTACTACTTACTACTTCGGGTAGTGTAATAATGTACCATACTAATTTTCCTAGTTTTATCGGTTCTCCTTACAAACTGTAATCGCCTATTTCATTCCCTTTAAGATAGGAGTGAAAATTTAACAGACAGACGAGAGTTACTTTTGCATTTAGAATATTGGTTTGGAAATATAATTTATTTATACTATACATATACACAGTGTGTTGTTTCTGAACTGGGACAGTATGGAGAAAACCGAAACCATAGGAGGTACAGGAAACCTTTCTTAGGAATCATTAAATCTTTTTTTGTGAAAATAAGTTAGGCATAGTAAATTTATTGGTCTAGTGTGAGTTATCCCTAAAAATTAGTAGATTTTTATTCCCCCCCATTTTTCCCCTATTTCCCATTCCCCATTTTTTCTTCCAATACAATGACATGATTCTTACATGAGACTGAATCGATCAGCACTAAAAAAAATAATTAAAATAACACTATTATATACATATACATCATACACGATTAAGTCCCAATATTAAATTGAAATAATGTTTGATAACCGTGTTATATTAGTCTACTGTAAATTCGTACATAGAGTTTGTGTGGTCGCTATTGACGAAAATCTAATTTGCTCAATCGATTATTAATTTTAATTTTATTATGTGCAGTAACTGGCGAACTGTTAGAATTTGTTTGGCTGCATAGTGTTAAAACTTAACATTGTGATATGTTAATTTCGTGCTATCTAACTGGACACAATTTGCGGGAACTCACAAAGAACGAAAATTTTTAGACTTACTCAAAAGAAGAAAAATATCGCCCAACAAACCAAGCACGTATTCAAGTAACGACCAATGTAAATATTTCAACTTTCATACAAGGACTAAACTGGAAAATTCCAATTCTAGCCGGCTACTTGCGACATTGCATTCATAAAGCTGTGGTTTTTGCCCCGGGATATAAATAAGTGGACACACTGTCCGCTTACAGAATCCACACTCTTGGATCTCTACTCTGTATTAAAAGTGGAAACGTTATCTTTAACAATGTTCTATCCATTACGTAAAACACAAGGGCCCTTTGTATTGTTGTCTATTCGGAACCACCAATAACTTTGCAATTGCAAGTTTTTTGCGCAAACTAAAGATATACAGAATCCAAGAACTCGTTATTTATTCTAAATCTTTTTGTTCTAGTTTTTCAGCATTCCTGTTTCGTAATATGAAAATTTTTCTGCGTATAATTTTTCGTTTTTTTTGCTCTCATTTCGTTCGTGGTCGCATGTGTAAAGAGCTTGAAAAATGTGAGGCTAAATACGAGGATTTAAGTTAATACTATAGATAGAGGCAACTGCTAGTTTTGTTGCAAAAATTTAAATAATGTTCCATCCAACTTCTAATTCAGCTTTCAATTTTCACGCTATTAGCGACTTATTAAGTGAGTTTTACCTAGTTTCATCTCTAATATATTCGACGATAAAATACTTATTACAATTGTCATTGTTATAGAAGCCTACGCCTCCTTATGGTAACTTTCAGGGCCATCTGCTAATTGCTACTAGACTAAGTTGGTAGCATACGTATTTATGTACCTACTTACAAACTTAAGCTTTACAAATGAGAAATCCGGTTAGTTAGTTGTTAAACATGAAACTCGCACTAACTCCGTCTTGCTCTCTAGCGCTTTGAGTGCCCAAGTATGTAATAACAGCTCTCTATGAAACGTAAGCGCCTGAACTATGCGCCAACCTGAAAACTTTCATATTTCTGAGATTATTATGAGTTGTTACATTTTTATGTGGTAAGTTGCGTTTTATGTATTTATATCTCGTTCACTAGTCACAACCACAACAGTCATGTATACACGGAAACACTCAATATAAGTTCTATAGGTTAAGGTTTATGTAAAGGTATCATACTACCCTCCTATTGTGTAGACAAATAAAAAACCAACAGTCAAAGCAATGTGCAGATCGTGTAGACTCTTTTTTGTATGATACCAAATTATAGGAACATATCATACTTTAAAGCAAAGATCTGAGTGGCATTGCTACCGCACTCGTCACTCAGAATCATAAGTTGACAAGTCCCATGTGTCGGTAAATTCATCATCACCCTCACCCTTCATAACCGTAACGCAGTAATAGTCACATTGCTGCTTGGCGGCAGAAATTGGTAAGGTATGTACTTCCCTGGACGAATTCTTTCACAAGGAGCATTACTTTTACTAAAGACCTACTGATATTCTAATCTTAATTATAGACAAATGAAACAAAGCTAGGAAATATTAATAAATATCGGAGAAATAGATTTACTTAATATTATACTTCTTATTTGTTAATTAGTTAGTATCTGTGATGCTTTGTTCTTTTTTCCTTCTATAAAGAAGTAAAACTAAAAACCAGTTTTTGTTAAATTGTTGATGGAAAACAGAACAAGTTCGATTCTATCTTTAGATTCATATTACAAATAAGAAAAAAAAAGAAAAGAATGTTAATAAATTGTTAATACAATAATGAAAAAAATAGAAAAGAATCAGATCTCATATCATTTGAAGGTTCTCAATATCATTGCAAAACCACAGTTATCAATCGGTTCATTTATCAGAATGATATAAAGCTACGCCTTTTCGATAATAACTGTGGAAATAAATGGTAAAAAATTTAATTTTGTGAGAGCGTTATAATATTAAACTTTACTGCCTAAATAATAAAAACGGGAATCGAGCCGAATTTCAATGACAATGAACGAGATAGCTAACTAACACCCATAATACACGAGTAACACATACGCAGCACACACGTATAAGAACCGGAGTGAAGTCAGTAACAGAACGTTATTAAAATAGTTAGCTGTCACTAGGTCAGTGGCGAGGTTATGTGCTTCAACACAACTCAAAACAAGTGAAAAATTTCAACTTTTATTACAGCATTTATTACGCAATTCGTAAGACTGATAGTAGTTTCAAATAATCAGTGTTTTTTTGTTTATACGCAAGTGTAAATGTAAGGAAAGTGTCACATACAAAGTGCGCAATTAGAGACTTATACAAATAGACTCGTCGAAAATAACAAGTAAACAACTGATAACGCCTACTATTCCAGTGCTACTTTATCAAATAAACGAGTGAAATTGTTTAACATGGTTGTGTCACTGACGAGATTTTCGACTGTTTTAACGAGTGTGTGCAAAAATAACTCTAATTTGAGGGCGTTGTCGACAACATGCTCCAGAAAAACTAAAATAAATTTCAACTGGGAAGATCCACTGAATCTAGATTCGCAATTATACGACGACGAAAAAGCAATTCGTGATACGTTTAGGGCTTACTGTAACGAGAAACTATTGCCAAGAATTATCGAAGCGAACAGAAACGAAATTTTCAACAAAGAAATTTATAAAGAGTTGGGGGAATTAGGTGCATTAGGAGCTACCATTAAAGGTTACGGATGTGCCGGTTTGAATTACGTCACGTATGGACTACTGACAAGAGAATTGGATGGTGTAGACTCGGCTTACAGATCAGCTATGAGCGTGCAAAGCAGTTTAGCTATGGGTGCTATTTATATGTATGGAAGTGAAGAACAAAAGCAAAAATACCTTCCGAAAATGGCCAAAGGGGAGTTAGTCGGTTGTTTTGGATTGACTGAACCAAACTTCGGCAGTGATGCAGGAGGAATGATCACAAAAGCAAAATACGATTCGAAATCTAAAACTTATGTACTCAGAGGAGCCAAAACGTGGATTACTAATTCACCCATTGCTGATGTACTTGTAGTTTGGGCGAAAGACGATGAGGAAAAAATTAGAGGATTTATCGTCGACAGGTCACAAGTCAAAAAAGGTCTGGACACGCCCAAAATCAATGGAAAGTTTTCTTTGCGAGCGTCGGCGACGGGTATGATATTGCTTGACGAAGTGGCTATATCGGAGGAGAATTTATTGCCAAACGTAGTAGGTCTGAAGGGGCCGTTCGGATGTCTCAATAACGCGCGGTATGGAATCGCTTGGGGCGCTCTTGGGGCCGCTGAAACATGTTTGCGGATCGCCCGTCAGTACACATTAGATAGGATTCAATTTGGAAGGCCTCTCGCCGCTAACCAGCTAATACAGAAGAAGTTGGCTGATATGGCGACTGAGATAGCTATAGGGTACCAGGCAGCGTTGGCTGTCGGTCGTCTAAAGGATAAAGATAAGGTAGCTCCAGAAATGGTGTCTTTGATTAAGAGAAACAATTGCGGCAAGGCTTTGGAAATCGCAAGGGCAGCTAGGGACATACTTGGCGGCAATGGCGTCTCAGACGAGTACCATGTGATAAGGCACGTAATGAACTTGGAGGCCGTTAATACTTACGAAGGAACTCACGATATTCACGCACTGATATTGGGTAGGGCGATTACCGGCATACCAGCATTTTCCTAGTAACATGTACCTACAAGTGTAAGTATGTACATGTGTTCGTTGTACCTTAGAAGGAAAAATTTGTATAAAAAAATAGATATGTCTTTGGAAATATAAAGTAATTTTCATCTTAGAAGGAAATTGCTGTATATTACTAAATTGACATTAATTAATATGTATTTTGTTGTACTTTATTAAATGTTAACGAAATTATGCCGTCTTTAAAAAAAATCTTTTATTGTCGTTCCAAAATAAAATATGAGAGCCGAATTTAATGTATAAAGCAAAATTGAGAGTTTACTGCTTTAGATTTATTTACCCCTCTGAAGAACATTGTAAGAAAAGTCATAAATTGCAACAAAAAAGATTTCGGTTGGAGGCGCCGGGTATCGATCCCGGTACCTCTCGCATGCTAAGCGAGCGCTCTACCATCTGAGCTACGCCCCCGATGTTCAAACGCTTCGAAATTAATGACTGGAAGCGGTTACCAGTTTTGTTAGTCTTACTTACTTGTAAAAGTCTGTAACTGTTCTTATATCCTATAGATCGTAATGCTGTAATTTAATGTGCTTATATTTATTGCCGTTATGTTTATTTGTCTATAAACGTCTATAATTCGGTCGGTTTTACGTCAGCTTGCTCTAGTTAGGATCTACCTAGTTTTGACTTAATTCACAAATGCTTAACTATTTTCAGTTTTTTTTTTTGGAATGTAATCACATACTTAACTAATTAATACTTTCCAGTGATCATTAAATATTCTCACAGACTACGACTTAATAAATTAATAAATAGGTGTCTAATTTTATATTATTATTATTAACAGTATTATTATAAAATTATTAATCATGGAACTATCTCCATGGCCGAACGGTTACTATGCTGGTTTGCCATGCTGAGGTCGCGGGTTCGATTCCTGGGCCGGGAGAAATATTTGTATGGCCTCGTGAGTTTGGGTGTGATTTGTTGTTGCTTATGTGTGTCAGGGTGATACGGTGTTTCCTTATTGCGGGGCTATAAGTATGTGCGGTAAAAAAATCATGAACACGATATTAGCGGTTATTTCGTGGCAAAGTCGATCGAGAATACTACCACTACTACAATTGAGCACTGCAAAATCAATGCCTTAATTACATTTTGTTTAAAATATTGCTTTTTTTTAACTATAGCAATCATGTCACACCCTAAACCAATTCTCTGCGACGGCACGTTGGCACATTGCCGTGTAAACGGGCAGTTTTGTCACAGAGCACCTACTAAAATATCGCTTTATGCGAGCGACGATCGTTCTTATTGTTTATTAGGCATAGTAATAAGGGGTTGCATGGAAATTGTATTTAATATGGGGAAATGGAATCGTCTATCCTTTGGATTGTTTGCGTAGGGTGTTCGAACGGCGCTGTGGTGAGTGGAGATAAAATGATTCGTAGGCATTGTTATTGCCAGATATTTTATACGTTATTTTTTGTTTGGAAAAAGTCTCTCTGAGTTATATTGTTATTTGCTTATAATCTTGAAGCAATGCATGCTTATTGCTAGCTGCAATTTGATATTTCTAAAACAATCGGCACTTTGATGAGGTAAATTAAAATGTTTTACCTTATTCAATACAAACAGTGGGTGTGCTTTTTTATAACATAAATGACGGCACGAACAAGTCGTGCGTCTTATGGTGAACAACGCGCCTGTTCTTAACAGTTACTGTAACACTCAGAACTTTAAATTGCAAAGATCTGATGTGCACTGCCACTGCGCCCATCACACTGAGACATAAGTTGACAAGGCCAATGCACCTGTAATTTCACCAGCACCCTTGCCCTTCAAAACCGGAACACAGTAATGCTGACATTACTGTTTGGCGGCAGAAATAGGTAAGCTGGCAGTACTACCTTGGACGAACTCTTGCACAAGGAGCTCTATTGCTGCTAAATGATATTGGTCGATAAAACCACTAAAACAACATACTTATATTATGATTTATTTTCGTTAGATATAACGATATTTGATATAATTTAAAAGGACATAATCACTCATGGGATATAATTAATTAGTGGTACAATTACAAAAGGTACATTTCCATACCTTCAGTATAATAAATATTAGATATAATGACTGACTAATATAATGAATTAATGGTATAAATGTTACGAGTATAATATATTAAAATAATGTATATTATACCATCGGTATATTAATATGTTTACATGTTTTTAGTAGCAGCCTTGTGGAAGAGTTCGTCCAAGGAAGTACCTGTCACATTACCTATTTCTGCCACCAAACAGTAATGTGTGCATTATTGTGTTTCGGTTTTGAAGGGTAAGGGTGCTAGTAAAATTATAGGCACATGAGACTTATCAACTTATGTCTCAAGGTGACGGCCGCAGTGGCAGTGCCCTTCAGATCTTTGCAATGTAAAGCTCTTTGTGGCACTATAACTGTAACTGTCACTAAGTACCGTAACCAAACAACATAGATATGAATTAATTATATCCGTGGAGCGTTATTTCGTCCAAAAATATACCAATCGTTGTTATATCGAATGAACCGCACCCACAGGCAGTATTGTATGAGGAAAATCCGTGCGTAAAAACGGTGGTGGAAAATATAGAATGTGGATGGTAAACGTCTCGTGTCTCTTTCTGTCTTTGTGGTATTGGAATCTATTTTAAGCAATTAAGCCAGTGTAGTGAGCAATTTCATCTTCAAATTTCCTCGTCCCTAAATTATAAGGGATTCAATTTTCAATTAAGAAACTCATCATGTCGTCATACGCAGTTCTCAATTTCACCTACGCAAAATAATAAAGGAAGATATTAAGTATCGGTTCCCGCAAAACGTTAAAGTAAAATGGTTTTGTACTTAATGTCATAAGGAGCTTTATTTGTATGCTTATTATCTTGAAAGCGTTAATGGTGTATTAAACGAATTACCAGATAATAAGAAGTTAGGGTGGGGCAATATTTTTTTCAGTTTTCAATCTTAAAAAAATACTTTATTTCAATATTAGGAATTTGGAATACTACGCTTTAAAGGATCTACTATGAATATATAAATCATTATTATTATCAAATAGGTACTTCTAGCTATTTTGCAGTAATATATAGTGTTTTATCTTAACTCCAAAAAACGCTTTATTTCAATATACGATGAAATACCACGCTTAAAGGATCTATTATCATAATAAAGCATAGTTGTTATCAAATAGGTACTAACTTCTATCTTTATCTCTATATCTCATCTCTGCTGTTTTGCAGTAATACATCGTGTCTTAACTCCAAAAACACTTTGTTTTAAGAATTAGAAGTTGAGATACTACCCTTGGATTTGAATTATTTTTAAATAGGTGTTTAAATTTTATTGAATTTATATTCAATTTTTTTTTAATTACTCCACCAGTTTTTTATAATTTTTAATACAAATATTGAACAATAAGAAAAAAATCTTTCGATCCGGCCGGATTCGAACCGACGTCTTCTAGCATACCGTGCCAGACGTTATACCAACTTTTCTTCTTTCTGATCTTTGTATTAATGATTATAACAAACTAGTAGGTATTTAAATCTAGCTATTTTGCATTGATACAAACACTTTATTTCGGAAGGCGAAGGTGGAATTAAATCGTGCAATTCCATTGCGTACTCTCCGCAATATATCGTGTAGAATATATTCTGTATAAATATATACTTGGATTAATAAATATAAAGGTAATTAATAGTGCTTTTTTCACTATGCATTTACCAGCATCCTTCATTTATGTCGCATCACCAACAAAAACGATAATTGCAAAATAACACGGTACATAATCTCTCTCAATTATGAAACCAAAATAATCTTTGTTTCGCGCCACAAACGAATTCCTCCACAAACGCCAGCTATAACAAACCTGAATCTCGCAGCTTGTTATTTAAATTATTTATTTTATTAATAGGATGAAGCGACAGAGAAAAAGCGGTTTGCTCCAAACACTGGCTGGGTTGGTTTTGTGGTCATAGCCGCGTGTCCTTTTTGTTTTTAAAAAGGTGTTTTCACCTTTGACTTTACTTCGGACTTTTTTGCTATTGGAGGGAAGTTCAATTTGCTATTAAATTTCTAGCAGGCGCTATATATATGAATAAAGTAGATTATTATGAAAGGATCAATACATTAGTCTGATAGTCTTTTTTATAAGAAAAGCGACCTCAAAAGCTAGTGGAATTACATAAATTTGTCAAGTTTTAATGAAATCGTTTAACGGAAAGTTGGTAAACCGGATTCATCCCTTAATTTACCACTCTTACAGACTTCTAGTGAGATACCCCCTTTCTAATAAAAAAGAATGATCGAAATCGGTACACAAATAGTACAAAAAGTAATCGCGTAACATACACATAAAACAAAAAAAAATACAATCGAACCTCCTACTTTTTTTTAAGTCGGACGAAAAACATTTAAAAGGATTTAATGTGGGTACGATTTTCGATCGTTATTAGTTAACAAAACTGATAATTTTCACCTTGTGATCGTATTCATGATAACAAAACATTATTTTCATTTTGAAAAAAGAATATATTTTCCCATGTGCGAGTATGTGAGTGAATCAGTTTTTATGAGATACTCTCTATAGTCACTAATACACATACGTCAGCCCATAAAACTAAATCCCACAGGTTAGATTTTGAAAAGGGTTATTTTTTACCCTCTATTATAGGTATCGACATAATACCCTACGATTATCAAACGTTGTTGCTATTAAGCTAGGTTACATAAAAATGATTAAATATTGGTATATATTGATATACTGTATATACTGCGTCTAATTACGATGAAAATTAATGATGACGTCATTTGCACTGTGAACGGTTTGCGATGGACAAATGATTTACGAATTAGCCAGACGCGCTTGCGCGAATATCAATACATCATTATCGACCTATTATTTACGCCTAAAGCTACTAAGTTTATGTAGATATTGTATTGATGTGTTTTCTAGAAAACAGTAAAGTTGAATATGCTATATCCTTATCTTATCTAACGTAATCGACATGTTAGCGAAATTGAGTTATTATACTTACTGGATCAGCGAAATGAAATCTACAACCTTCTATAAGCGGTATATTTTTTATAACTTATTCGGTTTCAGTTGTTTTAAAGGAAAATCAGCGATATTCAAAGAAAAAACCTTTTCATCACACTTGCTCGTAAATGGTATGATTGCATGGTGGCTTACTTGCCTATAATGCCCCAAATAAAAACCACGTT